CGAACTCACGGACCGCGAGATCGTGACCTGAGCTGAAGTCGGACGCTTAACCGACTGCGCCACCCAGGCGCCCCAAATTGTCCTTGTTTTCTTGTCCGTGGCCTCTGGGGGCTGCCTCTTCCCGCCCGGCCTGGCGTGCATTTACCTCCCTCCACGCCCAGTGCCCCCCCAGAGGTGTCTCCTTTACCTGCTCGTGTTTCCAGGCAAAGAGTTCATGCGGAGGGATGCTAGGGCTCAGGCGAGCCCCGGGAGAAGGAGCAGACAGAGGAGGGGGGTGCCACCCGGGCTCAGCGGGCGGGGGGCGGAGGATGTGAAGCTTTGAGACGGAGGGAGCCGTGGCCCCAGACTGGATGGTCCGCGCAGACCGGAAAAGCCACAGCCCAGAGCGGCACGTGCTGGCCGACATTGCTTGTCTGCTCAGCCCGTCTGTCTCCGGGCCTCACTTCCCTTTCTGTACATCTGGGAGGAGGGCAGGGTTTTAAAGGGTCTCCTCCTCCAGGCCCTTGACCTACATGACGTTGGAGCAAGTCTGATGGGCAGGCGCAGAGCTGTGTGGGGTTCCTGAGGACGAATCTCCACGTCCCGGCTGTTTCTCCGGGGTGGGGGGCGGGCCCTCCTCGCCGGCCCTGCTGTGCGGCCCCAGTGCCCTGCCACGGACACGTGACGTGACCCCGCTCTGGTTTCTCCAGGGAGCCCGACCGGACCCACCTGGTCACATTCTTCCAGACTGACCTCAGCGGGTACCTCCCACGGAGTGTGGTGGATTCCTTCTTCCCCCGCAGCATGGCTGGCTTCTACGCCAACCTGGAGAAAGCCGTGAAGAAATTCTACAGCTGACGCGCTCGCCCGCTGGCCCAGAACTTGCGTCGCTCGTCACAGAGCTCCAGGTGCCGGGGTACTGCTTTTCCCTCTGTGGAAGCCCCTTGGGGACCGCTCGTCTCCCAAGAGGCCGGCCAGAGAGGCCCCCCCCCCGTCCCGCTCCTTCTCTTCCCACTCGGGGCCCCCTTGGGGGACCCGCCCCGGTGCCCTGTCTGCCGGCTGTCTGCACACCTCCTCCAGCCGGCACACCCAGCCCTCCAGCCGCCGCCCACAGGGTGATACTCCGCGGTCCAAATTTCTGTGCCAGTCACTGAGACTTCCTGTCCCTGTTGGTCAGAGGGAACCCCTGTCGATACCGGAAACCCAGGCTCTCCTGCCTCTTCAGCGTCCGGGACTCTGTCCGACCTGTTGCCGCAGACCTGACATCTGTTTTCCTGATGACACCGCACCAGGGTCTCCCCTTTAAAAAGATGTCCCTGAAAAAAAAGCTCTGAAAATACTGCTTTAACAGATGAGATGAGCGTTAAGGAAAAATACGTCCAATATTTCGTTTGTGGTATCTTCCATTTGAACGGGTTGTTTTCTCTCTTTCCCCTGAGTTAACTTCTCTTACCCTCCGTGCTAGAGGCCCGGGTCGGGCCGTGCCGGGGTCAGCAGGAAGGCTGGGAGAGCAGGTCCCCTCCAGCAGCGCCGGCCAGAGTCCCCGCACGGGCCTGCACGGGCCCTGCCCACCGCGGTGGGCCATCGGACCCGGGGAGCCCAGCCTTGCCACCTGGGAGGGGCCTCAGCAGTCCCACGAGGTCCCTTGCCTCTCCCCGGTCAGGACCACACAGTCGTGTGGAGTTCTCCAGCACCCCCTCCCCTGCGGTCCCCCGCCTTGCTGGCGCGGAAGATCCCTGCGCGTCTGACCAGACAGAGTCCCCTTGTGTGGCAGCTGGAGTGCCTGCAGGAAGTTTCCAGAGTCCCGCGCATCGCGTCCTCACATCTGCCTGGCCCGCCCGTCCCCTGAATGTGCCGAAGCCCGAGCAGCCTTTAAAACGGGAGGCTCCATGTCCGGGGCTGAGAAAGCCCCCTTCTCCCTGGGTGGAGATGCGACCACAGATCCCACGGTCGTGCCGTCGGGATCACCCCGCTAGCTTCTCGGGAAGTCGTCATCAGACTCTTTATTTCAATTCCCTTCCTTCGTGAAGAACTGCCCGGCACTGTCCTGTGTCAGCGCCTCCTGAGTCGCCTCCGCAGGTGCAGCCAGGTCTGGGCGCACCGGCTCAGGAGTCCCCGGGAGGCAGTGGTCTTAGCGAGATGGGGCTGCCTGTGCCGGGCCGTCCAGCGACGTGGAGAGCCATGCTGCCCGGCGCACATCTCACGGGGCCCCCCGGGCATACTGCCCACCTGCCGGCGTCGGGGTAAACTGAGCACTGGACTAGGAGTCCGAAAGCACGCGTCTGGTCCCGTGCCTGCCACTCAGACCCCTCGCATCCCTGCGCGTCAACTTCCTGTCTCTCTTGGACGACACGGGGACACGGACGCCAGCCCCAGCCCGCTGCTCGGGAGTCCGTGCGGATGGAGGGACGGGCGAGGTCACTGTCCAAAGCAGAGGACCGGGGCAGCCGGGAGAGGCCCTCGGGGAGGCTCGTTTCCGTGCCGCGTTGACGAGGTTGGGAACCGTGACGCTGGGGTCCCTGTGGGTGGCTGGAAACACCGTCTCCAGAGGCTGTTCTGGGCCTGGCCTCGTGGCCGTTCCTAGCGAGCCGGGGGCCCTTCCGACACCCACAGCCGCGCCCCAGCCCCGAGACCAGCCTGCCCCTGTCGCTCACTTGGCTTGTCCGGCCCGGCGGGAGGCTTTCTGTGTGTCCCTGGCCCCGGCCGGCACCGTGCTCATGCGTGTCCCCACTCCCAGTCCCGACGGAAGGCCGCGTCCTCCTTCCCTGCGCTGGTCCACGTGCCTGACCTGGCCGCTTGCCTGACAACGGCCCGATGATCGGGATCGTCTCTGCGCGAGGTGGTGGGGGCGGGGGTGTGCCTCCGGGTCCCCGTGGCCTCATCACGCAGGTGGGACCCCGCGGATGGCTGCAGGACTGAGTCACGCCTTCCTGGGCTGCGTCTTCAGGGTTTCTATGAAACCAGAAGAACTGGTCCACGTGGCGGCTCAGCTCCTGCCTCCGCCCGGGGCTTCACGGGATTCACAAGGGGGCGCATGGGGGCAGCAGGCAGGACACGACCACGCCGAGCCCAGCGGCTTCCCGGGGTGAACGGGACGGCGAGCGGACAGCCACTGCCGTGAGGTCAATGTGGCACTTGTGTGAAGAGGCGGCCCCGGGGGCTTTTTCTAAGAGTTCACTGCCCCGGAGAAGCCACCAGGTCCCGCCGGCATGGCCCGGCGCTCCTGGCCCCGGGAATAACTAGTGTTCCTGTTGTCCGTGGTTTTCGCGATAGATGTGGGGCCGGGACGGGGCTGGAACGCCACCCGGGGTCGCGTCAAAGAGCGCGCTGGCTGCTTCTAGGCATTTCTTTGTCCTGAGCTTGGCAATCAGACGTGAAGAGGTGACTGAACCACATATCCCTCTGGTTATGGACCTCATCGTTTACCAGCGTGGACAGATTACCTGCCGTCTCCGCGTCCTGG